CTATTTCATAACTTGCTCATTCAATTACCTCTATAGCTAAACTGTAGGCTTTGGGGGTAATTTTAGGTTTTGATGGAACACTCAGCACACTTTTGGATAATAAAAAGTAACCTGAAGAAACAACTTAAATGTTCCAGTTAACTGATGACTTTATATACATCAATGTACAGCAAGAAGATTTAAAGTAAGAAAATAAGAAAATACAATATTTTACAAATATATTAATGTATACATTCATATTAATGTACTTCAAGACTATCATTCATGGTGGTGAATAAAAGGCTCTATAGATATGACATATCAGTTATAAAAACGGCATCTCTGGAGTTTATGGAATGGTCAAGAAAGCATACATAAGAGCTTACAAAATTCAAATCTGTAAACTTCCATTAAAAAAAAATGTCAAGACAATTAATTCTTAGCAGCACTGCTAAATGTTATTCATTACAAAGAATCTCTTACCGGATCTAGGTTCTTAAAAAGAAGAATGTCCTTGCATGCCTCCTGCAGTCTGTTTCTTTGATCATCTGTTTTAGGGTGAATAATCTGAGGGATATAACAGAAAAACCTTTAAAGTGGTTATCATATAGCAGCATAAGCTGAAGGACTGAGCTAATTCAGCTAAGCATTTCACACAATATTTTGGCCATGCTTCGTAACACTTTCATTTCAAAACTTTCAGGATTTGAATAAACACTCAATGATAACATTATATCACCATAGCACCAGCAAATGAAGCACTGCTGTATTTAAGCTAACAAGATCTTTACATTTGTAGAACCCAGTTCACTTCTGCAAGCCATTCTGGATACCTTTATCTCAACTATTGCTGTATAAACATCACTACTCTCTAATCATATTTGGAGCATGCATGTTTTATAAAAAGCACCACCGTTACATTTAGCCATTTGCCATGACTACTTCCCAAAGACTATTTTGTGAAATAGTATCCGTGTTAAATTTATATCAGAAGTTTCACAAAGTAAACAACAGACTTGACACTATCCGAGTGAGCCAGAGATTTACTAAATTACCAATGTCTGGTTAATGTGAGTATCAATGAAGTTGTTCATTCAATTCATAGGCTTAAAAAGGTATGCTAGGTTTCAAAGCTATGATACTATAGGATAACCTTTTTGACAGTTTTACAAGCCAGAAATTAGGTAGAATATAAACATTTAAACTTGTCTTAAAAGTCAAACTTACGCTATTTCATATTAAAAGCTAAGAAAGTGCCTTTAAAAGAGTGACGTAAGTAAAAGAAATAAATATAGTTCCTTAGTTATTGCATTGTACATCTGAAAATCTTAGCCATTTTATAATTTACCTTTTTTTCTGCCTTATGAAAAATACTAGAATATTGAGGAAACTACTGCAAGATTATGAGGACACCAAATAAGTACTTTTAGGAGCAGGCACTCTCTGGGCAAATATAATAGCACAAAATGTTTCCTTAACAGACAATGTATCAAAGGTGTAGTAATTTAGAATAATACTCACATCAGGTTCTACATGGGTGACTATTACAGAGAATTTTTAAATGTTCCTTTAACATGAAAACCCAAGGGATTATTAAAGTATATTATAATAAGGATGCTTTTGGAAAGGAATGATAATGCTGGTTACATTTTTCTTCCTAAATTTAATGCCCGAGAACTAAAAAAATAAGTTTTTGACTCAAAGCATTAAATACCCTAGATTCTGCGTCGTCCTCTTCCTCATCAGGATTGTAAGCTTCTGCACACACTGAAATGAAAAAAAGTATAATCTTAATTCAAAGTACAATAATGTTTCACAAGAGTTACAGAACAGAAAACACATTGTGTGGAAGAGTAGTAATATGCAGTAATGTAACACACTCACTAGAGCATCGCAGAAGATACTGCTGACAGGGCCCATAGCAGGTCACCTCCAAACTGCTGGTAAAACAAAGCTACACTTGTATCATTTTTTGGACATGTTTTCTGTGTTTTAAAAGACCTCTAACATAAATTTCTCACCTAACCTGTTCTAAGTGATCTATCTTACTATCAGAAATTTTTTTCTGATGTTCAAACTAATTCTTTCTTGTTAGAATTTAACCTACCCCTACTGGATGCAGAGATCAGATCATTCCCTCCATCGGTGTAAGTTCAAGGTGGTTTGGGGTTTTGTGGGTTTTTTTGTTTGTTTGTTTGTTTTTCTTTGTTTTGTTTGTTTGGTTTTTGGTTTTGTTTTGGGTTTTTTTTTTTGCGTATTTGAAACCTTTTCTCTCCTACCTTTTATGTTTTAGAGTAAATAATTTTGGTTCTTCAATGTTTTCCTTACAAGTCATGTTTTTCAGCTCTCTAACTATCCTCATTGCCATTCTCTGAACTCACTCCAATTAGCCCTATCTTTATTGAAGTGTGATGCTCAAAACTGGGCTCAGTATTTGAGCTGAGCTGAGTACCGAGTACAACAGATTAATTACTCCATACATTTTGCAGGCTATGTGTCTTTTTCATCCATCTATACCTTTTTCACAACAGCTTGATTATGTTTACTCATGTAAGATTCATGACTTACGTGTCATTTTCAAAATCCACTGCTTAACCAGCTGTCCTGTGTCCTGCATATGGCTATCCTGCCCAAGTGTAGGACCATGCACTTACACCTATTAAATATTACCTTATTCCCCAAGCCATTTCTCCAATGTATCAAGATCGTTTTCAATTCTAATCCCGTTCTTCAGCATCCTTCCAATCAAGCCCCTGTGGAACTGACTGAAAGATTCCTACCAAGTTTACTAGGAACTGGATTTGGTCCCAAATAATTACAAATGCCCACAAAAGGAAGTCTGCAATCTGTTGAACAACTATAATATTTTATCTCTACATAAACAAAATGTTCCTACTAACTGTTTTATGGTTCTATAGTTACTTCAGTCTTGTCTGAAATAAACTTTAGGGGATTTTATTTAAATAGCAACAATAATAACATGCCAAGTAAGCACCATAACCCATCATAATGTAAATCACTACTTTGTTTCAGCTGGTATCAGCCTCTGTGCCCTAGTGCATGTACGTGTACACGGGAGTCAACAAATCTGTATTACAGCACAGTGTGCTGCTGGGTGTATCAATAGTCTGTCTCAACCTGAGGTACAGTTACATCCTGTCCTTATCTCCGATAAGACCTCTACATGAAAAAAATTACACAAAAGAAGAATTTAATTTAATAGCTTTGATGTTGTTATCCCAGAATTGACAGGTCTCAGAAAGCCCGGCTGAACATTGAAGTCTTCCAGACCACACAAAAGAAACTGAATTTAGCCTCATTCATGCCCATCCTGAATCATCTTATCAGTCCCTTTCACATAGCCTGAAGCAGGATCAGTCCAGAGAGAATGCTCCTGAGGTCTTCTATGTCATCTACTGCCTCTGCTCTAACTTCACTCTTCTCTGCTAGAAGCTCATTTCAGTCAGTCTTATTAACTATTATCAGCAGGTGCCTTCATTAAATATCTCTTCTTTATCACTGATTATGGACAAATATATTTAAGAACCGCAGTTTCTCCTGGCTAGTGCCCATCTGCCCAAATTTTAAAACGATTTACTCTTATCATCTGCGATAAGAAACTTACTCTTCTGGTTACAATTCTGCACTTACTTTGCATTGGCTTATCTTTTTGCCATAATCAAGGATGCATCTTTCATTTGGGTCACAACTTAAAGACTATACCAACGCTGCGGCTCTGTGGTTTTAAATATGGAATTTCCTTTCCTCTGTTGCTTATTTCGGTAGCCTGTCTTACAGACTTTATAGTCTAGTAACATATTAATTTCTAAGTACATACCACTAGATGTCTCATGAAAAAACTTGATATATTTTACTTCTGTTCTTGAAATACGGTCTCTGACATTACTACAGTCCACTGAATTTCATGACATGATCATTGGGGTTTGGCACATGAGAATCCCAATGACATAAACCATCTAAAACTAAATGAGATGCCTCTTACGTAGACATCCACATCTGCAGAAGTCATATGGATTCCAATTACAGTCAATGGAGAGAAACCGGCACATTTATGAAGCGATTCATCTGACCTGTATTACATGTCCAGGTTAAGATGAGATTAATTAAAAAGGTGACTAACTGGCTGAGATAAATCCTATCCCTCTTGCGATGAGTCTTGTTAATTATAACAAGCTGCAAGACTGGTTCCGCCACTTCTCCATTTAGTCTGTATTTCTTGGAAAAGAAAGTAGTTCATCACCTGATGATGCTGACAGGTTGCTCATGCAATAGCATACCTTCTTTATTCATTTCATATATTCCAGGGAGACAGTCTGTGGTTCCCACCTCTTGTCTAAGGCTTGACTGGCACCACAGGCATTAATTATTCTGAACCATTCCACTGCTGGTGACTGCAATACTCATAGTGTTCAGTATTTCTTTTTTCTACCTCTCCAGCTCATTCCATACTCCCGAGGGTACACAGTGCATGGTGACTTTATCATGCTCAAATGCCCTGCCACATTTTGCTACGTGTCACTGCTGAATAAAATACTCATATCATTGCTCAGAAAGGAGGCCTAATACCATTCTTAGGGACCTATTTCATCCCATGCATAATTATGGCATTAAAAAATAGTGATACAAACACTGTACATCTCTCTCCATTGGTTGCTAAGCTCAACTAAGTGAAATTATTTTTATTCAGTTTTTCAACTGAGGGTTGTGTTTCACATATAATTCCCCAAGATGAACACAAACACAAACAAGCCCAAATACATCAACACAAAGTATTTGTAGGAAAAATCTGAACTGTCAAAAGGCAGTGCATTACTACAATACACATGCACTGAAAATGGCAGACAAGTCCAGATGGATTGCTTTGTCAGCAAGAAGAGGTAAGCTTTTACAATTTCTAACTCATCACTCCAAGTAAAGTCAATTTTCTCGTTTTCAGCTAGTAAATGTTTTGTATTCAAAATCAGAAATACAGTCACTTCAGATATGAATGAATTCTAAAATAAAAATTAACATACAGTTAGTCATTGTAAGATCACAGAAAGTGTTAGTTGTGCTCTATCTATTCCCTTGATGTGTCAGGAAATAGGAAGCTATCAATAATGAAATGAATGAAAATTCATATATAATCATAAAATAATATATTATACTCAAAACATGGCAGGAAAAACAATCAGTATGTATGTACCCTTTCCAAAGCACAGAACCCCTGAGTCATAAAGCATATTACAAAGAATTTTACAAGAGAAAAAGAGATGTGGAAATATTTCTTCATCCCATTCAGGGCAAATCAAGACTATAGTTTTGCCAGCATGACTATCGGCCTGGAGCACGAAAACAGACCATGTCTAGCCACTGTAGCTACACCAGCACGCCACATGTCCCTACAAACATCCCTAACTACGACAGCTATGCCCATCCCCTCAATACAGCAAGAATGTCACTTCCCTGGTCTAGCCGTATGAAAATTGCTAACGCGACTTAATGGCAGTGCGAGATTTTCTTCCATTTTGTCAGGACGTACTTCTCTTCATCTACTAAACACAGATTAGAAACATGGTGCACAGAGTCCTTGCATAGCAGGTGGTAGTTCCAAACTAGACCGCAAATACTACTGGACCTCCCAAGTTTCTGACACGGAAACTCATTTTTTAACATCTCACCAGTTCCTACCACTGCAGGAGGAACTAGCAAGAGCACCCTGCACCCCAAAATCCCAATTTCATAAGTAGTTTTTACTGAAACAAAAGCAACCCTGTGTGATGGTAGCAATGAGAAATAACTGGTCACGGTTTCTGATGCTTGCAACTACCAAGTCCCATATTATTTCTAGACCTGGTTTTGACTGGACCATATGGAAGATGAGATTGAAGAGCTGTAAGTAAACATAAGAACTGAAGAACAACCCAGAGAAAGCAGATCAACTTTCTCCTCTATCTGAGCACACAATGAGATGAGATAAAATTTATCTGATTCCACACGTGATTTGCGTAAAACCCTGAAACTATTTCAAGGAGTTAAGTTTATTTTAAATATAAGCTAATTTGGAACAAAGCATGATGGCTGGGGCTATAATTTCCCATGATACTGTCAAAAAGAAGGCATCTGTGAAACACCTACGCCTGATAGGGTCACTAAACTGAAACTTTATCTAGGCATAATTAGGCAAATTCACACACAGAATGCCTGATACCTTGCAATTCCGTGTTACTACTATTTTAGACATAGAGCATTACATTACAAATGCTATCCAAACTGGAATAAAAGTACGTATGCTCAGGAAAAAGGCCTGACAATCACAGAGACAAGAATATTCTTGAGATTTCCTCACATGCAACAAACCAAAAATTGAAGAAATTCCCCTCCAATCTACCAGATTTATGGGGTAACAACTTTTGAGTGGACCACTACCTAACACAAATCACTAAGTGCTCAGGACACCAGCCTAAAAATCCAAAGCTGGATAAAATCTAGGCAGCTTGTATCCTCTTAATTATCAGGAAGATGGCCTTCAGTTCATTAGGCAGGGACTGACTGAATCAGAGTCTTGGGACCACTGCCAAGACAGCCTGTTTCAAGATCAGCTGCTCATGAAGGACAGTTATCTACTCTTGCTTTCAGTGTACAGACTGAAATTCTCCAAAGACTGCCTGACAGTCATGAACACATACCAAATACCAGGTTTGTGCTCAGCCATGCAGCTCAATGGCAAAACCTTTTGCCAGAGTTGGAAGACCTTGCTCCGCCTGCACTACATGCTTGCAAGAAATCAAAGACTCACACAATCAGCTTTTCCACAGTATTTTCTCTCTTGTCCATCTGCTACCATTCCTATTTCTAATTAGTCAAACTTGAAGATATTTCCTCCAGCATTTCTAAATAACATGAAGTGCCTAATATAA